GCGGGGCGCCTGAGATGGGACGTGTGGTCCGTGGCTAAAGGCTAGGACGGAAAGGCGCATGAGCCACCGCCGCGTCAGGCTCGGCTATGGGTGGGGGGAGCGTGATCGCGGACCCGGGGTGTGGGGCGACTGGAAAAACGGGTCACTGGACCAGCGCACACCCTGTGCGGAGAGACACTGTCTGGCATCTCGGGATCATGTGAGGGGCTCCCATTGCCCAGTCACACGTCTAAAGCATCCTAGTTCTTACCTATTGTAGCACGGCTGGAAAGTGAGCCGCCTTAGCGGCTGATTGCACTACAGCAGGCAATACAAGAGTCGGCCCATCCTTCACACCACTGATAGGATGTGAGTTTCACTAACCCCATTTTACAGATGAGGAAACTGAGGCCAGGCTAGGGCTCACACCTGTAATCCCAGCACGTTGGGAGTCCAAGGTTGGAGGGTTGCTTGAGACCAGGAGTTCATGACCAGCCTGGGCGATATAGTGAGACCCCCATCTTCCCAAATAAAAATAAATAAATCTGCCGGACATGGTGGCGTGTGCCTGTAGTCCCTGCTGCTCAGAAGGCTGAGGTGGAAGGATCGCTTGAGCCCAGGAGTTTGAGGCTGCAGTGAGCTATGATCATACCACTGTACTCCAGCCTAGATGACAGAGGGAGACCCTGTCTCAAAAAGAAAAGAGACTTGAACGAGGTCACATAGCTAATAAGTAGCAGATGGGGAAGAGAACCCCTGTCCCTCTACTTTAAGGTCCTATTCGCTTGCTCCATTATCCCGTGCTGCTAAAAGCCAGAGAAGTAGGAGATGGAAAAAAAGCATCTCTACAGCTCTGGGACTGATGCCGTGAATGAACTGGGTAGATGGTAAGTCTGTAACTGGATGATCTTGGACATGGGATGAGGTGGATGAGGGGGCTTACCAATGCTGAGAGGAGTGGAAGCCCCCGCCCCAGCTAATGCTAGACACCAGACTCCAAATTTAAACACACAGTGGAAACTGGCAAGAATGAAATACTGACTTCAATACTGATTTCAAGAGACATGACATTAGCGCTGGTGGAGAATGGCAAGCCTAAGGTTGGAAAAGGTTCAGTGAAGGAAGATGAAGGTCTGCCATGTTCTACTGAGGAGGAGTTTTTCTCTCAAACAGTGGGGTGCTGTCTGCAATGTGTATAGACTTAAAATTATTATGATATAAGTAATCAATGCTCATTGTTGAAAAATAAGAAGACATGGATAAACAGGGGGAAAAAAACATATCCATGATCCATCTAGCCTCTCAACAAAACTTCTTTTTTTTTTTTTTTTTAAAGCAGAGCCTCGATATGTTGCCCAGGCTGGTCTTGAACTCTTGGGCTCAAGCAGTCCTCCCATTTCAGCGTCCCAAATAGTTGGGATTACAGATGTGCTCAGAAAAATTTCTTGAGAACTATGTACCCTTCTAAATGCACGTCCTCAGCCCTCCTTTCCTATACTCCAGACAGAATTGAGCTCAAACTGCTTTTGTCATAGTCATCATAATGACCTACCTGTTGCCAAATCTTGCATTCTCTTCCCTGCCCTTGTCTTACTCCTCCTTTCAGGGATGTTGAGGACAGTTAATCATATCCTCCTTCTGGACACACCTTCCTCACTTAGTAAGAGCACCAGTGCTCCACTCTGCTGGTATCCAGCTAACCTCACTCCCCAGGCTCCTCAGTCCCTGCTTGCTCTATTGGTAAATGCTGGGGCATTTGGGGCTGCCCTTCACCCTCTTCTCTGAACTAGTTACAGTTTCAGACTCCCTGAGGAGAAACTAACTTCCTAGCCCCATGACTGTTATATCATCTACATGGTGATGACTCACGATAGTAAATCTACAGCCAGGACCTCTCCTGGAGTTGCAGGCTTATTTCTCCAGCTGCCATTTGTCATCTCCACTGAAGTGACTAGCATATCACACATAACATGTACAAAGCTGAACTTAACTTTTCTTCCCAAATCTTTTTCTTCCCCAGTTGTCTCAGCAAATGGCATCACCATCCACCCTAACTCATCTTCAATTCTTTCTTGCCACTCATCCTCACAGCCAGTCAATCCATCAGCAAGCAGTTGATTCCACCTATAACACAGACCCTGCATCTGACCACTTCTCTCCATGCCCTTAGACACCTCTTGAGATCTTCCCCCAGAACACTGCTTGGCATTCACACTAGCATGCTTTCCTCAAAAATGCAAACTCTTTCTCACCCAAAGGTCTTTGCTCTTCCTTTTCCTTCTATCCGGAATATCCTTCTCCAGGCCAATCTCCAGCTCATTCTTCTTCCTCATTGAGGTTCCACTCAGATACCTCCTCATGATGCAGGACAGGCAGGCCCCAAAATTTGGACTTAGCCTGGGAGGATTCTTGGCTTCACCCAGTAAAGAATTCAAGGGCAAGGGGGTGACATTAAACAGCAACTTATGGCCGGGCGCGGTGGCTCACGCCTGTAATCCCAGCACTTTGGGAGGCCGAGGCGGGCGGATCACAAGGTCAGGAGGTCAAGACCACGGTGAAACCCCGTCTCTACTAAAAATACAAAAAATTAGCCGGGCGCGGTGGCGGGCGCCTGTAGTCCCAGCTACTCGGGAGGCTGAGGCAGGAGAATGGCGTGAACCCGGGAGGCAGAGCTTGCAGTGAGTCGAGATCGTGCCACTGCACTCCAGCCTGGGCGACAGAGCGAGACTCTGTCTCAAAAAATATATAAAAAACAAAAAATAAATAAAATAAAATAAACAGCAACTTATATTGAAGTGGCAGTGTACATCAGGAGCAGAGGCACTGGTCTTTGCAGAGCAGAGCTACCCCATAGGCCATGTTCCCAGAGTAGCATCTCAGAGGCAGTTCTGCACTCATGTTTCTACCCACTTTTAGTTACATGCAAATTAAGGGGCAGATTATGCAGAAATTTCTAGAAAAAGGTTGGTAACAGGTTGTTGAGTCATTGCCATAGAAAGGGGCAGTGACTTCCAGGTGTTAAATCTAGAACTCTAATCTAGAGTCTGGTCCTGAGTCTTAGCTCCCACCTCCAGAGTCAAGTCCCCACCTTCTACCTCATCAGAGGGCTTTCCTTGACCGGTTTATCTCAAATAGTTCCCCAAGTCACTATCACTTGGCCCTGGTTGATTTCCTGTTTATTTTTGCTATGTTCTTCCTCTCCTCAATAGATGATAAGCTAAAAGAGGGCAGGGTCTGTGTCTATGTCATTCTTTCATGTTTGCAGTGCCTAAAATGGTTCGTGACACACAGCAGACATGCAATAAACATTTATTGAATGGATTCATAGAAGAATCTTAGAGATGACTAATGTTCATATGTTGTGTAACAACACACACACACACACACACACACACATAGAATTCACAGTTTTATATATTATTTCCCAAATCTTTTCCCATTGCTCTGTCTACCCTAGATCACACACCCAATATCTCTCACCTGACTGGAACAGCCTCATAACTGGGCTTCCCTCTTCAGATACAAACATACCATAAATATATAGACTTAGATGTCTAACAAAGATTCTTCGTTTGTTTGTTCATTGTTTGTTTGTTTGTTTATTTAGATGGAATCTTGCTCTATCGCCCAGGCTGGGGTGCAATGGCACAATCTCGGCTCACTGCAACCTCCGCCTCCTGGGTTCAAGCAATTCTCCTGCCTCAGCCTCCCAAGTAGCTGAAATTACAGGCACACATCACCATGCCCGGCTAATTTTTATATTTCTTGTAGAGACAGGGTTTTGCCATGTTGGCCAGGCTGGTCTCAAACTCCTGACCTCAGGTGATTTGCCTGCCCCGGCCTCCCAAAGTGCTGGGATTATAGAAGTAAGCCACCAAGCCCGGCCCAAAGATTCTTTTTTTTTTTTTTTTGAGACAGAGTCTCATTCTGTTGCCCAGGCTGGAGTGCAGTGGTGCGATCTCGGCTCACTGCAAGCTCCGCCTCCCAGGTTCACGCCATTCTCCTGCCTCAGCCTCTCAAGTAGCTGGGACCACAGGCACCCGCGCCACCACACTCGGCTAATTTTTTTTTGTATTTTTAGTAGAGACGGGGTTTCACCGTGTTAGCCAGGGTGGTCTCGATCTCCTGACCTCGTGATCCGCCTGCATCCCAAAGTGCTGGGATTACAGGCGTGAGCCACTGCGCCCGGCTCCAAAGATTCTTAAAGCAGGAAATTATACAATTATACAATCACATTTGCTTTTTTAGGGCCTTAACTGCAGTTCATGTGGATGGGGAGGGAAAGAGGTCAGAGACCAAAGGCAGGGAGAGGCAGAAGCTATAAGGTAAGACTAGGACCAAAGCCAAGATAAGAGTAGGGCAGGGAGGAAGGTTATGGGTTTAGGTATTGTGAAGTCAGAGGTAGAACTGATGGATTTGACTGAGGTGGGTGAAGGGGAATTAAGAGGAGGATGCCTGCTGCCTAGAATCAGATGGAAATTCGATAGCCTGGTGCTACAAAATGCATTGTCTCCAGGTGGGTAAAACCAAAGCCAGTGGGGTTGGGTCAACTATGATCCTTTCTTCACACACTAATTTCAATGCCTCTTCTCCACTCCCCTCTGTGGTCCCATTTAATGTGAACCAGATAATAATCATAAGGAACTTTAAGTACATGTTATATCTTACAAAGTTCAATCCTGGGAAGTGGTTGGAATAAGTATTGTT